CAGCAATCTCTTTGCTGGTGTAGAGGAACCCAACTGATTTTTGGATATTGATCTTATATCCTGCCATGATGCTAAATCTCTCAATTAGGTCCAGTAGGTTTTTGACTGAGTCTCTTGGGTTTTCTAGGTATAGGATCGTATCATCAGCAAATAGGGATAGTTTGACTTCTTCCTTTCCAATTTGGAGGCCTTTGATTTCTCTTCCTTGCCTTATGGCCTTGGCTAGGACTTCCAGTACAATGTTGAATAGAAGTGGTGATAAGGGGGCATCCTTGTCTGGTCCCTCTCTCAGCAGCACATCTTTCTCAGCCAGCAATCAGAAACTCTCTCTCTGCTTCTAGGATGGGTCCTTTTGAGCCTGGCAGAGTGGCCAAACTAACCAATCCCAACATCAGAATTCTGTACACTTGAGGAAGAGAATAGGAGCTCTCTTGGCATAGTGCCTAAGACATTTGACTACTAACCAGAAGGCTGGTGGTTCAAACCCACCAGCCACTCCTTGGAAGGAAGGTTGGACAATGTACTTCCATATTATAGAAAGATTGCTTTAATTATGGCAAGTGGGACTGCAATGTGAAGTATCACTACTTCTGTAATGATACTGCCTCAGAAACCCAAGGAGAGTTTTGAGAGAGAGAGTGAACTTCCCAGAAAATTACTTCCTGCCGCTCAACAGAAATACACCATGTAGATAACTTTAACAATCAGGTACTTAGTTGCTCAAGGCAAAGTGAGAGTTACCAAGACTATGGCTGGAAAAGCCATACCATGTAATTTACTATGCTGTAGTAAACCAATGTCATTTTTGTCATATTACCATAACTTCACATCCTTCTATTTGTGATTTGAGTGAAAGTTTACAGAGCAAATTCTCTTTCCATAAAGCAACTCAATACGCTTTGTGTCATGACATTGACTGCAATTTCCCACAGTGCAACATCTCCCCTCCCACTTCTCCCCATAGCTATCTCTTCCCTGTGTCCTTCCCTACCATGCCTTCCTGGCCCCTACGCTGTCTCCCTGTGCATATACAGCCCTTCTGTTCTCCCATAATTGATCTCTCGAAGGAGTGTATCTAGGTAATGTAAATATTTAGCTGATAAGCCTGTCTTTCGTTTGGCTGGAAGTCATAGGAGTGGGTTCATTTCCACACCTGAAGGGCAGTTAGGGACCATAGTCTCAGTGGTTCCATCAGGCTCTTTCAGACTAGCAAACCTAGTTCCTTTTTTTTTTCTCCAAGTGATTTTAAGTTTTGTTCTACATTGTTCTCCCACTCTATTCCAGAATCTCCTACATAGATCCCCCTCTGAGTGGTTGACAATAGTAGCTGGGCACCATCTAGTTCTGGTCTCATAGTCATTTAGGCTGAGGATCGCATGGTGTACCAGTCATTTGGACTAATTATTTCCATGCATCTCTGGTTTTCTTCATTCTTCTTTGCTCTGGACGAGGAGAGACTCACCATTGCATCTAGATGGCCACTTGCAAGCTTTTAAGATCCCAGTCGCTACTCAACAAAGTAGGATGTGGAACAATGTTTTTGTGTAGTATGTTAAGCCAGCTGAGCTTGATGTCCCCTGCGACTATGGTCTAGAGCCCATAGGTCCAACTGCTCGCTCCCTCTGGGTAGCTGGCCGTGCCCAAGTAGTGACTAAAACGTTGTCCCTTATTAGCTCTTCTATATACCTGGGAATTCTTACAGAACATACCAATATGCTTGTAGAAACATTGTCTGCCAACCCTATGCATGGTCTTTGGCACACTCCCCCATGCACGCTTTCTCTAAAGTGAGGAAGTAGAATTAAATTACAGGCTATGTACATCTTCAAACTCCACTAAATGTTGCTAAATTGCTTTCCATACAAGTTAACACCACTTGCTGTTCCCACCAGTAGTATGCAAGGGTTCCTGCTCTGCATCCTTGGTGACACTTGTTGTTACCAGATTTATTTTTGTTAGTTTGATTATATGAAACTTTGTCTTGCTGGGGTTTTTTTGTTTTGTTTTAAATTTTGCTGGCTGCTAGTAATACTGAATTTCATTTCATGTTTTTCCACCCCACTCACAATCACTGGGTGTATTATGGAAGTAAAGATTACAATTCAGTATCAGGATCAACTTCAAAGTAACAGGAACAATTTAGGAGATAGTATGTTTTCATGTTTCTATTAGCATTTTAATTTCTTTGAGAATTGCCTATTTATATTCTTTACTCTTTTTATTGGGTCATTTGACTTTCTTACTGATTTTTAATCTTTACATGATCTAGAAATTGATCCTTAGTCAGCTGAGGGTTTCTATTATCTTCTGGTGTGTGGCTTTCTTTCCTTTTTTTTTTTTTCAATGGTATTTTATCATTACAGAAGCTTCAAGCTATATACTGTGTTTTTGTTGTTGTTGAATATCATAACAGAACGTACACCAACTCAACAGTTTCTACCTGTACAATTCAGTGACATTGCTTGCATTCTTCAGGTTGTGCAACCATTCTCGCCTTCCTTTTCTGAGTTGTTCCTCCCCCATTAAATCCACTGCTCCCTAAGGTACCTTATCTGATTCTTTGAATTGCTGTTCTTAGTTTGATCCTGTATGGGTAGATCTTAAAAGAGCACAGTACTTGAAGCAGACATTCTTTACTGATTAAGCTGAATTGTTTGGTTTTAAGAAGACTTCTGGGGATATTTTTGGTTTAAGGTTTAAAGATGATCTCAAAGTAGTAATTTCAGGGGTTCATCCAGCCTCCATAGCTATAGAATGACTGAATTCCATGAGAATTTGGAATTCTGTTCTGCATTTTCCTCTTTCTGATCAGGATTCTTCTATAGACTCTTGGGTCAAAATGTTCAGTAATGGTAGCTGGGCACCATGTGATTCTGGTCTCATGACAAAGGAGGCATTTGTTCGTGGAGGCAATTAGCCACACATTCCATCTCTTCCTCCTGTTCCATACTCTCCTTCCTTTTGCTCCAGGCAAATAGAGACTGATGGTTGTGCCTTAGATGGCCACTTCGAAGCTCTTAAGTCCCCAGACACTACACAACAAACTAGGAGGAGATAGGATAGAAGCACTAAACATGTTACTAGGCCGGTTAACTGGGATGTTCCATGAAACCATAACCCTAAACCCCCAAACCCAGGAACCAAATCCCATGAGGTGTTCAGTTACATAAGCTGCTTCAGCAGCTACTTTTTTTCTTCCCCGTTGTTATAAACGTATCTGTTACATACTTTTGCTAATTCAACTTTTTACAGGTGTGCGATTTATTGACAGCAAGTACATTAATGGACTGTACCCTTAATCAGTGTGATTTGTCTATCACCATAAACCAAAACTTGTAATCCATAAGCAAATTTGTAATCCCTTTCTCCCCTCCCACTCCTTGTAACAAGTAAGAAACTTTGGTCTCTATATGTTTGCCCTTTCTTGTCTTTTTATACAAAGTAGGTCATGGAATATTTGTCCTTTTGTAACTAACTTATTTCATTCAACATTAATGTCGTCAAGACTTCATTTATCCTACTGGCTGAGTGGTACTCCATTGTATGTATGTTCCACATTTTGTTTATCCATTCATCTGTTGGTGGGAATTTAGGTTGTTTCCACCTTTTGGCTATTGAAAATGCTGCAGCAAACTTTGGTGTATAAGTCTGTATTTTAGTGTCTGCTTTCAAGTGTTTTGGGTATATACGTAGGAGTGGAATTGCTAGGTCATGGTATAGTTTTTGGGGAACCCTATGCTATTTTCTACAACAGCTGTACCAGTTTGTATTCCTACCAACAATGGGTAAGGGTCCCTTGACTTTACTCACCTCATCACCAACATTTGTTATTTTCTGTTTTGTTTTTTGTCTTAGTCATCCTAGTGGGATTGAAATGGTATCTTACTGTGGTTTTGATTTGCAGCTCTCTCATGGCTAGTGCTGTTGAGCGTCTTTTCATGTGTTTGAATGTCCTCTGTGGGAACCATGGAGTCTTGTTTGTGCTCTCTTGCTAAGATTTGTCCAAGAAATATTCCTTGATATAAAAATTCTGCTTTCTTCTGAAAAACCTGCTTTGTTGCATCTGGCTAATTATTGGATGGAATATAGTAGGAATTGGATATTTCTATAGCCTATCATCTCAGCAACAGTTAATTAATCAGAGGCAGTATCACAACAGAAGTAGATTGCCCAACCTTCCTCCTGAGGAGTGGCTGGTGGGTTTGAATCACCAGCCTTCTGGTTAGCAGTCAAATGCCTTAGCCACTATGCCACCAGCACTCCCATAAGCAAGAGAAGAGGGATCACTATGAGTCAGATCCAACTCGACGGCAGTGAGTTTGTTTGGTTTGGTTCTCTTGTTTATAATGCTCATTCTTGTGTACCAGGTGACTCCTATATAAACTTCTGTGTTTCATTTCTGTATTTATGCATGTAGATCTTTCTTCCATTTGTCTGTTTCTACACCTATGCTATCCTTTAATTATTGTTACCTTACTGTAAAGTTATTTGTCAACTGGGCCATGATTCTCAGTGGTTTGGCAGTTATGTAATGATATAGTCATCCTCCATTTTTTCATAATGCATAATAATCCAGTCTTTGGAACCTAACTATGTTGGTAAGTGAGGAGTGGGTATATATGACTTTCAGTTCCATTTCTGTTCTCTAGTAATTTGATTTTCTTTTTTGTAAATGCAACCACACATTTAAAAGAATGTCTTATCTAGTATCCCTTAAGTATTTATAGCAGGAAGATTTTATGATTAACCAGTTTTCCGATTGTCAGAATTGGAATTCAGAATGTCAACAACCATTTAAGTTGTGTTTATAGTTCTATATAGACTGCCAATCTTGAAAAACATGATCTTTACCTAGTATAAGGTAATTAGCCTTTCAAAATTTGCAATGGTTGCTGTCGATCAGCTAATTTTTAAGGTAACTAGTTTTAATATAAACTGATCCATTTTATTATTCAGAGGTCAGAACTTCCTAAGACATACTAATCTTAAGAAACCCAGTAAACAGGACCCTTTCTCTATAAGACATTTGGCAGGTGGAGATCTAGATCACCTATATTCCATTGAAAGAGCACAACCTAGGGAAAGTTTGCATCTGACAGAGCTGAAACACCTACCTAAGGGGAGAAAAGAAAAAGAATCGCCTTTGCATAGAACCTTTGATAGGTTAGCTTCATTTGACTGAGCAATATGACTCGTGGGCTGTCAGCTACTAACCGGATAGCTTGCTTTACCTCCTTAGGGGGGATGAATGGGGGAACCTTGATTAAAATCCTTCCTTCTAGAAGAAGTGAGAGTACAGGAGGATATGTTCTTCCCAACAGGTCAGGTAGTCAGTTTTTGATCTGATGGAAGGAAGCAGCAGAGAATGTAAACAACATTCAGAGTGACTGAAACATATGATATATTCACAGGGGCTTTGCATTCTAATGTACATAAGACTCAGAGTATGCAGGAGAGGCAACAGCAAGCAAATTAGAATTTAAATTTTGCAAAAGCTAATTCTTAAATATATAATTGAGAATTTACTGCTATTTAAACATTGATCTACTTAATTGAAAAGTTAATGCAAAAATGAGAATTTGAGGAGTAACTGGCATTTCATATAATTTTCATTGTAATTTATTTTCTTTATTGTCTTACAGATTACCAAGAGAAATATCAAGAGTTACTTGAAAGAGAAGACTTTTTTCCAGATTATGAAGAAAATGGAACAGATTTATCGGGGGCTGGTGATCCGTAAGCTACCTTTTAGCTACTACCTTTCTTGGTGGAATTTCTCTGGGCACAGTTTCCAGATGGAGTTTAGAGTAGAAAAAAGTAGATGAGTGAATATGTGTACATTTTGATATCGTGGTGCTATACTTGGTGTAGTACTTACCAAAATTTTCAGAAGATCATATTAGAAAACGATTAGAAGCTAAGATTTTGAAAATTTATATATAATTGAGAGAAAAAACTATTAATATGTAGTGTATTTAAGTACAAAATTAAATATACACATACACACATATATAATTAAAAAAACTCACTGCTATCAAGTCAGATCCAACTCATAGCGACCCCTCCTTGGCTTTCTGAGGTGGTATCTCTACGGAAGTAGATTTTCCAGTCCTTCCAAGGACTGGTGGGTTTGAACCACCAGCCTTCTGGTTAGCAGTCAAATGCCTTACGCACTACACCACAGAGCTCCTTTCTCTCTCTCTCTCTGTCTCTCTCTCTCTCCCTCGCGCGTGCGCACGCTCTCTCTCTCTCTCTCTCTCTCTCTATATATATATATGTATATATATATAATCTCCCCTAAATAGCTCTAAATGTACTGTAAGATCTTAGGCAAATTCTGTACCTGTTTTTCAATCTATAGAATGAGAATATTATAACATTAGCACCTGAAGCTTTATGAGAATAAATAAAGAATATTTGAAGCAGCCTTCTGGCCCACAGTAAAATGCTCAAATTTTAACTGTTAACAATAAATTAAGAATTAAAAAAGACAGGTTACTTATTGTATAAAATTTTTGGATTGATAGGAAGATATGAATTATAGTCTTACTCTCATATCTTATTTTCCTTACCTGTCATTCTTTGTGATGAACTTTTACTATATTACTCACTGGCCATTAGATAACTGCCATTGAGTCGATTCATAGCAACCCCCATTGGGTTTCCAAGGCTGTAAATCTTTATGGAAGCAGACTGCCTCATCTTTGTTCATGGAGCAGCTGATGGGTTCGAACCACCAACCTTTTGGTTAGCAACCCAATGCCTTAACCACACCACCACCAGAGCTCCTTATATTTTGCTATAGAAGAACCAGTGCTTGTTAGCTTTGGTCCCAGTTTTGTTAGCAAATGCATGAATTTAGGCAAGCTTCTTTTGTTCTCTTCCTAAGAAGAAGGAAGAGAATACATGTGTGATCTCAGTTTTTCTTATATCCCATTTCTCATATATGTTGTAGGTTTGTTTAAGTGAACCATATTTATTCTCTTTGTATCTGAAACCAAACTCACTGCCATAGATTCAATTCTGATGCATAGTGACTCCCTTGGGGTTTCCGAGGTGGAAAATCTTTACAGAAATAGATTCCCCAGTCTTCTTTCAGAGTAGCTGGTGGGTTTGAACCACCAACCAAATAAGAACCCAGCAGGAGTAAGAGGGTTCAACCCTGCTGAGCATCTCTCTGAAAGTGAAAGTCGTTCTTGGCATGAACTTAAGGTTATCTCCTATCTTTGTGTAAGGCATCATATTCTCTTCCCTTAATGAACTCATGGCTCTCTCAACACATTGCCTTATAGTGGGGAAGGGGAAGGACAGGAGGGAGAAGACCCATCAGCAATTGATCGGACTGGCAAGATAGTTTTGTCACAGTTATAGGTGGAAGAGTATGTGGGTGGAGAGGTGTAAAAAAATACGTAGCATCATGTTATGGGGAAAAGTATAAGGCACTTGACTGCTAACCAGAGGGCTGGCGGTTCAAACCCACCAGCCACTCCTCGGAAGGAAGATGGGGCACTCTACTTCCGTAGTGATACTGCCTCGGAAACCCAAGGAGGGGTCACTATGAGTCAGGTCTGACTTGATGTCACATAATAACAACAGTAGTTGGAACAAACCTGGGATAGATGATCTCAGAGGTTGCTTCCTCTGATAAAAATCTAGTCCCAAATTAAATGGGGATGTGACTAAATTGTCATTGAAGAAATAATCTAGTTTGATTTCTGATTTTAAGTAGACATAAAATAATACATTATTAGAAGTAAATGGCACTCTGAAATTATGTTTTAACTTTAGTATAATTAAAATTACCTTGTTTATTGATAAGGTAAATTTATGAAATTACTAAAATCTTCACCTGTGATTTAACTTTTAGGTTAATAGAATTTGACATATATGTCTAAAAATACAGCAGGATCTTGAATCAAAACACCAAGGGGCTCAGAATCTATTTATAAAATTTAACTTAATCCAATTAAGCATTTTGTTAGTCCTTGTATTCTATTATAACTCATTCTATAGGAAAATCATGTTGCATACATTATTTTTTCATGGCTTAACATCTTAGACATTTTCTGAATTGAATATTAAACTTAAACTTCATCTTTGCCTCTTTTACAGATACTTGGATGATATTGATGATGAGATGGACCCAGAAATAGAAGAAGCTTATGAAAAGTTTTGTTTAGAATCAGAGCGTAAGAGAAAACAGTAAAGTTAAATTTCAGCATACCAGTTTTATAAAGCAGTTTAGGTATGGTGATCTAGCAGAACACAGGAAGCAAGAAAATGTGTCTCACTTAGACCAAATTAAAGATACTGAGTTATGTTACTAATGTATGCAACTTTAATTTTGTTTAACACTATCTGCCAAAATAAACTTTATTCCCTATAACTTAAAATGTGTATATATATATAATAGTTTATTATGTACAGTTAATTCCACTGTTTTGGCTGCAATAAAATCGATTTTGAAATAAATGAAATGTTGAAAGTAAATTTTGCTAGATGATTAGAAACTTATCCTTTAAGTTTTACTTTTCTTGGGGAAACAAGTGGTAGCTTGGGAATAAATATGACTGCACAAATGTAGCATCCTTTTTTAGATATGAGTATTAACTTTTCATTTTAGCTTGACATTTAGTGTCTCAAGGAAATTTCAGATATGAATCACAATCATGAAAATCTTTAGCACTAAAGTCTTGGACTGTGACATTAACAACATATGTTATATATGCAGATACTATTTGATACCAAGGGCTTTTATAATGTCATTAAAAGACAGACAGATTTGGAGAACTCCCAGCAAAACAACTAAGACTCTTCTCTGAGGATTTATTCCAATTCTAGGATTGTTCTTTCAGTTCCTTATATGCCTTTTTTTTTTTTTTTTCCACCTGACTAACTTCATTGTGCTAAGGCCTAAAACATACTGCATTATTTATAAGGCTTTCTCATTTTTACTTTGTAGCATAAGTTGAATTGACTTTTTTAGAAAATTTTACTAGATCTTTGTCACTCAACTTTTCATCTGCTTTATAATTGATACACCGTGAGGATCACTTTTCTAATACTTTTACTATAATGTGGCACCCCTGCCCTATTTAAGTAATATTTTTACCTAATGTCAAAATCTTTTTCCAACTAACTAAAAGTAAAACTTATATGAAAAAGGACTGCTGTAAATATGCATGTAAATAGTTCTGTTAATAAGCCACTGTTTTACATTTGGTATGTCTATGTCTGCTCATATAGTTAGCTTTCTTACTTTCCTGCTTGTTTTTCCAGTCTGAATTAAAAGTAGACTTTGAAAATAAAATTTCAATAGTTTTGTTTCCTCTAAGTGTTTGGAGTAATACCCTGATATTTCAAAGAATTTGCTGTTGAACTTTTTTACATGACCTACAATAAAATTGTGTGGAGGCCTCAAATCAGAGAAACCATACTAGGATAGAAGATGGTCTATTCAATGTCTGTTAAATAAGGAGATCATTCAGTTCAACAACAAGTAAACCTATATGGAAAAAATAGTAAATATAAAACACATTTTAGTCTAGATTGCTTTTTGTAATAGGGAAGTATATGTTACTAGTATTTTTAGAAATTGCTGTATTCAGGAGTCTTTTTTTTTTTCCCCCCCAAAATGGCTCCTGTAACATGGTGGCTGTTTGCACCAGCTGCAGTTCTCTAAACAGAGACATCAGTGTAAATCTTTGGCAGGGAGGGTGAAGGGAAGGGATACCACATTAGACCAGGGACCAAGGAATGCAGATTATACTTAAAATCTCTAGCAGTTGCTCTGTGAATAGCCACTCAGTTTTTATGCACTAGTCCATTGTCTCTAACTACAGTTGACCCTTGAACAACATGTGTTTAAGTTACACAAGTCCACTTATACATGGATTCTTTTCAAGATACAGATCTTGGAAATTCAAGAGCTAATAGACAGCACACCAGAGGAACTAACAGACGATTTGATGGAGATATTTGCTTCCAAACCAGTGCCAGATGATGAGGAAGAAGACAGAGGCAGTGCCAAAAAACAAACTGACAGTAGACAGACTGGCAGAAGCATTCTGATTATCCAAAACTGCTGCTGACTGACTGCTTTTATGGCATGGGCCCTTCTATGATAAGGGCACTGGAACTGAAGCAGACAGTGGAAGAAGGATTGGTACTGTATAGAAACATTTTTAGAGAAATAGAAAAAGCAAAGTTAGAAAGAAATTACAATGTATTTCCTTAAAGTTACCCTGAGTCTGCCTGCCTTTCATACTTTTCCTTCCACCTCCTCTGCTTCGGCCACTGGAGAAAGCATGACCAATTCTTCTATTCTTCCTGCTCAGCCTACAAAATGGGAACACAGGGATGGAGACCTCTGTAATGATTGTCTTCCACTTAATAGTAAGTAAGCGTGCTGTGGAATTAATAAACGTGTGTGTGTGTGTGTGTGTGTGTGTGTCTTACTGTGAAAATACAGTAATTATATAAGTACTGTGTTAATCAACTTTGTTTAATTGGAAAGGCTTCCGATCAATAGTAGACTATTAAGTTTGTTTTTTTTTTTTACTATTAAGTTTTTGAGGAGTCAGAAGTTACATGTGGATTTTCAACTGTACAAGGGATCAGTACCCCTAACCCCTGTGTTGTTCAAGGGCCAAATGTACTACTATATTCACAGCCACTAAAAGGATCAATATATGTTCCAGTTACTAGTTGACTCAAAAAACTACCCAAACTAAGTGTCTTTAAACTAACAACCAGTTGGTTATGCTTATGGAATTATGCTCAGGAATCTGGACAGGTCATAATACGGAGGCATGTTGAAGCCAGGATGAGAGCCAGGTCTCAGCCGAGAGTGTTGATGAGAACCACTCACACATGGCCTCTCCACTCAGCTTGGTCTTCTGTAGTATGCTAGCTGGATTCTGAGAGACAGAGAGTATTCCAAAAGAACCAGGAAGAGTTGAGTAATTTTGGAGGGTCTGACTCCCTGGATCACTATGAGTTAGAATCAGTGCAAATGGTTTGCGCTCATCTACTAATGTGGGGTTTGGTGGTTCAAACCCATGCAATGATGCCACGGAAGAAAGGCCTAGCAATAGCAATCTGCTTCTATAAGAAGCCAAGAGAAGCCTATGGAACAGTTCTGCTCTAACACATCTGTAACACATGGGATCACTGTGAGTCATATTCACCTGGACGGCAGTGGGTTTGGGTTTTTAATTTTTAAAAAGCAGAGGTTCACTTCAGATTGAGTATTCTCAGAAAGCTGGGGCAATTCTGTGATTAGAGATGTCAATAGATCTTACCTATAGGGAGGACAAATGAATGAGGATAAAGATGGAATTTGGTGGTGGTTTTTATTTTCAAACTCAGTGAGAAAGGAGACTATTTAGCATTTCGTGGGTGATGCAGTGAGCTTGTCTAAAGTGGGTTTTCTGTGAGCTTGTTCATGTCCAGATCAATTTCCAGATGTTAGGAACTTTTGACTATTCTCAGTCTATACAGTTTAAATTCCATAATTCCTTGTGTCACGTGTGAAAGACTTAAAACTTGTTCAAGGCTGAAAATAAGCTTAGACTCGAAAATGGCGGTTTTGCAGTTAATCAGCTTGGAATGATGATGTTAAGTACTGTCAAGCCAGCTCTAGCTCATGGCAACCATATGTACAACAGAACAAAAACACTGCACAGTCCTGCACCATCCTCACAATCCTTGCTATACTTGAGCCCATAGTCAAAAGTGTGTCATTCCAGCTTTTTTTTTTGTTGTTGTTACTGTTTTGTTTTGATGTGTGCCTTTATTGCTATAAATTGGCCTCTGATCACTGCTTTTGCTGTGTCCCAAAGATTTTGGTATGTTGTGTCTTCATTCTCATTTGATTAAAGGAATTTTTTAATTTCTTTTTTTTTTCCTTTAATTACCTAGTCATTCTTAAGGAGGGTGTTGTTCAGTTTCCATGTGTTTGTTCTTTTTCCGTTGATCTTCCTGTCGTTGATTTCTAATTTGATGGCATTCTGAGAGTATGCTTTGCATTATTTCAATGTTTTTAAATTTATGAAGGCTGGCTTTATAGCCTAACAGATGGTTTATCCTGGAGAATGTTCCATGTGCACTGGAAAACAATGTATATTGTGCTGTTGTTGGGTGAAGTGCTCTGTAGATGTCTATAAGGTCAAGTTGGTGGATTATATTGTTTAGCTCTTCTGCGTCTTTGCTGAGTTTCTTTCCAGTTGTTCTATCTTTCAGTAAAGGTGTTGTATTAAAGTCTTCCACTGTGACTGTGGAGTCATCTATTTGCCTTTTCAGTTCTGTTAAAGTCTCATTTATGTATTTTAGGGCTCTTTCATTGGGTCCATAGATATTTATTATAGCTATATCTTCTTGTTCAATTGATCCTTTAATTATATAATGTCCTTCCTTGTCTCTTATGGTGGTTTTTGTCTTAAAGTCAGTTTGATCAGAAATTAATATTGCCACTCCTGCTCTTTTTGGTTGCCATTTGCTTGATAAATCTTTTTTCAACCTTTTGATTTTTAGTCTATTTTTGTCTTTCTCTCTAAAGTGTGTCTCTTGTAGATAGCATATTGATGGGTTATGTTTTCTTATCTAGTCTGCAACTTTCCATCTCTTGAGTGGTGCATTTAATCCATTGACATTCAGTGTAATTATCAATAAGTATGAATTGGTTGCTGTCATTTTGTTGCGTGGTTTTTTTTTTTTATGGTGGTCTGGTTTTTTTTCCATGTAATTTTCTGTGCTGAGCTCGTTTTATGAATTATGTTATTTCCTTTGTTGCTCTTGTTTTAGTATTTGCTAAATATTTGTGCCTGTCTTTTTTATTGTGTTGTAAAGGTTTATCATTTTTCTTTGAGGTTACCCTGTGATTTGTAATTTTCTCCCTGAGTTTAGAACAGTCCATTCTATCTTGCAACTCCCTTGACTTCCTCACCGTTTAGAAGTTCTGTAACTACACTATTTTTTTCTCTCTTTTTGGTTTGTAGTTGTCCTCAGTTGCCAATTGATGTCTCTGGTTCCCAGTTTACAGTCTTGTAAGCTTATTTTACTTTGGAAACTTCCATAGCTGTGTTGGTTTCTGAATTATATCATCTTGTGTATTAATGGTCAGTGTTTATTTGCTATTGTTGGTTCTCTGTCCAAAGGACTCCCTTTAGTATCTCTTGTAAGGTTGGTCTGATTTTAACAAATTCCTTTAATTTCTGTTTATCTGGAAATCTGCTAATTTCACCATCATATTTGAGGGACAGTTTTGCTCACTATATAATTCTTGGTTGGAAATTTTTCTCTTTCAGGGTTTTATATATACCTTCCCATTGCCTTCTCACCTGCATGGTTTGTGCTGAGAAGTCACAGCTTATTCTTATTCGTTGTCCTTTGTAGGTAACTTTTTGTTTTTCCCATGCTGCTTTCAGGATTCTTTCTTTGTCTTTGGTTTTGATGAGTTTGCTGTTGATATGTCTTAGTGATTTTCTTTTGGGGTCTGTCCTGTTTGGGGTTCATTGGACTTCCTGAATGGGTATATTCTCATCTTTCATCCTATCAGGGAAGTTCTCTTCCCCTCCCTTTTGTGGAATTCCAGTGACACGTTCCTTTTGATGGTATCCCACATGAACCTTAGCCTTTCTTCATTTTGCTTTGATCTTTTTTCTGATTCATCCCTTTCCAAAGAAATATTCAGGTATGTCTTCAATCTCATTAACTGTGTCTTCCGTTGATTCAGTTCTACTCCTTTGCCCCTTCAATGTGTCTGAAAATTTGGTATTAATCTTCTGGATTGCTATCTGTAAATATTGTATCATTTCTAATTTTTCATTTATTTTGTCATTTTGTTCTTGTATTTTCTTCCAAAATTGTTTTAAGGTTTTGTCTGCGTTTTCCTCAATTTTGTCAGTGTTTTCCTTTATCTGTCTCTCAGTCCTTTGAAGATACCCAAATATAATTCTTTTGAATTCATAATCAGGGAGTTCCAATGCTGCTGCTTCTTCAAGGATGTGTTCTGGGTCTATATCCTGCTCCCTTGTTTCTACCACTTTATCTTGCTGCTTTGTGTGGACAGTGATGGTCTGTATGTCTCCTTTTACAGTGTTTTCATGCAGGTTCTACTGCTAGTTGAGGGTTAATTCACTTCTGTATCCTTCCCTTCAAAGCTCAGGGCTCCAGGATTATTTCTGTATCTGTGTTAATTGGTTCCCCTTTCTTCATTGAAGAGAGTTTGTGTAGTTTGTCTGCTTACTCTGCCATCTTACCGGAACTACCCCCTGTGTCAATCCATCTTGTTAAGGGTCTTCCCCTTTTTCAATGACATGCTACCAAGCTTGA